AGTTCTTATTACAGCACATTAAATTTTTTGCCAACAAGACAATTGCTTAAGGATTTTTAATCTTGCCATGCTTTTATGCTTAACACAGTCTAGTTGTTTAGCACCTATTTAACCATAAATGTGCATGGTTGTTTTGGAGAGAATACAGGTATTTGTTGTTTTATTTATTTGTATTGTGGTACCATTAGGAACTCCAGCTCCATTGTACTAGAGGCTGTACATAACACACACACACACACACACACACACACACACACACCCTACCTTACATTCTGAGTAATGGGGCCAACTTTAGAGGTGTCTGAATTTAAGTCTAGCAGTAGTCTAAATTCCCGTTACTTATGCTTTCTTTGGGCCTTGTGAATGTTCATGTTAAACTAGTAATAATCAGTAATCCATGCACTTTATAAGAAAATACTGCGTTCTGGTATAATATGAGGGATGGCAGTCTTGCCTTTTTGCCTCTTCCTCCTACAGCCCACAGAGAAAGAGGGTTTGTTGTATCCCTAGCAGAGCCTAAGGGCCTCTTATTTTTTCCCTACTCTTCACCACTGTCACAACTAAAACTCCCAGACACAACCATTATCCTTCTGGCTACAGGTGACTAAATAATGCTCTTTTCCGAGCCCATCCATGCAACTTCCTAACTGGATATAATCATACTTCCTCGGTGCACTACAGGGGTGCTAAACCCCTCCTATATCCCACATGCAGTCACTGAGCATTTTTCTGGGTCCTCGACACAAAGGTGAATTTCATCCTTAGACAAAATAAACACCTGAGATATGATATACTTCTGGTGTGAGCAGATAAATCTCCATTCATGCCAATGAAATTGCGCATCTGCCAGCAGCAGTGAATTTGACCTCTGCTGTGCAACTTTTGGACTGCATAATTTCAGTGTTCAGTCTGATTTAGCAGTTACTACTTCTCAGAACTGACATGTCCTAACATATCTAAATAATACTCAATACATACTTATATTTCTTTCTTTCTGTCTTTCTTTCTAGGACTTGGCATCTTCTGTTGAGGGAAGGCCAATTTGTAAATTGGTCTATAACACTGGTCTACAATTTTTGAGAAGTCATCTGCTTCAGAGATAAAATGTGCTATTTATTATGTATTTTGATGTGCTGAATTCAAATAGGACAATTAAAACAACTGATTGGCTACTGGTTTCTAAGATATTTAAGTTTTTACATTTTGTGTCTATGTATATTGTGTAGATAGTAGAGTTTTAATCATAAATTATAAACCTAGGTCTTTTCATGTGTTTATGGTTG